CACACACACACACACACACACACACACACACAAATAAATAAATGTTTAAAAAAAATTTAAAAAAAAATAAATTTTACAGACTTATTGTTTGTGTTTGGCAGTGTAGGACTGTAACTCCAAATTACCCCTGTGGAATAGAACTGCCCATTTGCAAGAAGTGTAGAGGATTACAGGAGAAAAAAAGACTCTATCAGAACCCAGAGACTTAACAGCAAGCCAAGGCCTGTGTCTACCGCTACGGACTACAATTCCCATAAGCCATTGGGGTCCCGGCCCACATCCATTGCTGCAGCTGGGGAAAGGGAGTTTGTAGGGCGCACTCTTGTTGTGTCATCAGCGCGCGCCACCCGGTAACTTGTGCAGGCTGCAAAAGCATGGCAGCTGGTGAAACTGCGGTACTGTCCTCGCCTTTGAAAACAGACGTAGCCCACGTCTGTGAAACTGCAGAAACGGGCGCAGCAATGGCCAGGAAGTCCGTATCCGCAGCTGCGGCCGCGGCGATTGTGGCTTCGGCCGGACCCGGATGCGAAAGTCGGGTCTCCAAGTCCGCTTTGGCGACTAAGCTGCTGTCGCTCAGCGGCGTGTTCGCAGTGCACAAGCCCAGAGGGCCCACTTCAGCCGAGCTGCTGAATCGGTTGAAGGAGAAGCTGCTAGCAGGTACTGCAGCGCGGGTGGGGCCCAGTGAGGCGGTGGCCGGGCGAGGCGAAGCACCCTGGGCTCTCTGCGACGCTCCGGGCTGGAGGAATGAAGGAAAGGGGAGAACGCCCACTGAGTTAGCTCGGGACGGGATCTCGCGCCTCTCCCGCAGCCCTTGCCCCAGAGTGAACTCCTGTAGCCTCGTTGGCAGTTGTTCTCTTCGAGTGAGGGGAAGACCCTGTGGCACAATGAATCTTTGTCCCAGGGCTTGCAGGCCCATTTTATGCCGTCAGATTCCCCAGGAGCTTTTGTTTGGTTCCTGTGGATAAAATCCACTTAAAGGAAGCTTTGGTTGTGTATCCTTAAAGTTGTATTATTAAAAAGACATTGGAAAGTCGGCGTGGTGACACACACCTGTAATTCCAGAGCTCTGGGAAGCAGAGGCAGGAAGATGGCAAATTTGAGACCAACCTTGCCGATTTTTCAGGACCCTAATTCAAAATTTAAAAAAAAGACTTGGGGTTGGGATGCAGTTTAGTGAGAAGAACTCGAGTTCAATCACTTAGTTAAATAAGACTTAATATGGTGTTTTCTCATGTTAGTGGTCATATGAGTTGCTTAGTCTCTTGCACAAATTCAGATTCCTAATTCCTGCTCTCCCAGAGACTGTGATTGTAAAGTTGAACATTTTTACACAGTTGTTCCAGATGACTCTAGTGTCAGTGAGTCTGTGGGCCATATTTTGAGGACCTCTAAATGTAACTTGGCCACTTCTCTGAGAGCATTCCTTGTCTATACACACTGGAAAAATATTAGAAAAGTTTGAAGGATTATACAGTTCATCAGAGAGTAGCAGCAAAGACCTTTAGTTTTATTGGACATCCACACTAACCTAGATCCGTGCTAACCTATAGAAAGGTGAGATGTTAGGTAATTATCTCTTTCCTTAATTGAGTTCACAGCTTAGCCATTTCTGCAGCCTTTAGCAGTAGAATTATTTATGCTCTCCAGAGTTTGGTCCTATTCTGTCTTGCTAGTAAACCAAGACAGGAACCATTTTCTTACTTTGTTATGTATCTGATGGCCAACTTTATACTTTTAAAAAATGTAAAACCATATTATTCTCATGAGAATTCGATAATTACAATAGTCATGGTACAAATCTATTTATTTATTTATTTATTTATTTAATTTGCTGTACTGGGGATTGAACTCAGGCCCTTGCGCTTGCCAGGGAAGCGCTTATTCTACTGAGCCATCTCCCTGGCCCCACGATATAAATTTAAATGTTTATTGGTAAGTATGTGCATTCTGACATATGTTTAATTACAGATTTATAGGGGCTGGGGAGATGGCTCAGTGGAGTAAGCACTTCCTTGGCAAGTGCAAGAGCCTGAGGCCAATCCCCGGTTCTGCCACAAAAAAAATATGATAATTACAGTATTGTACCTATTGATTCTTTCCTAGTATTTTGTAAGAATGGGTCATATAGGGAAGGTTGAAGCAAGGAGTTGTGTTAAGGGTAAGCATTATGGTGTCTTTCAAGGACCCCCCACACACGTACACATACTTGCTGTTTCCATTTGGCCTAATATGTTAGTTAAACTATGGCTTTTATTTTTTGGTCCTCAAAGTGATTATTTTCATTCTTTTCCTTGGACAAGTTTCTGACAAGATCAAAGCCATACTCCAGATTTCTCATTAATCTGCTTCCAAGAACTGATGTTTTCTGTTGATGCATGGTGAAAGTAGTTTGTTTCAAAGCTGTTACTAAGCCATTTTATTAAAATAGGATGTTGCTATTCTTGTAACCATACATTTCTGTAATGCTTCTGATTGGCCTATTCTGTGTTTGTGTCAGATAGACGAGGGCTTCTCAAGTGTCATTCCAGGCAGCTGACGGAATTGCCTGGGAAGGTTCTGAAATGTCCCCACATTCCGATTTAGGTCAGGCTCGATGAGCTCTGATTAAAGCCCTGGTCAGTGGTGATGGCCTTTAAGAACTTCATCTTTTCTTACATTGATTCCTGCCATACTGTAATCCCCACTCTTCTTTGTATGTTTATATCCTTCAAGGCCTGAAACACACCAGAGACCTTAATAAATATTCATTGATGAATATTTGCTTCAGTAGAGTGAATTTATGAGGGCTTTGTACTCTTAAGGGGCACCAGGCTGAAAATACAAAGAGTTTTCCAACGGATTCCAGTAAATTCATAAATGAGAGAGCTATGATGTATTGTAAGTGAATGGGGAAAGATTAGCAACTTAGGCCTAACCTTAGGGGTTTATGTCAAAAGCTATGTTTTATAGTTCCAAAGCACTGTTTTGTCTTTAAGACAGAAATATGAGAGAAGCCAGGGTTGTTTTTTTTTTTTTTTTTTAATCCAAATGCTTTAGAGGCTAAGAGGCAACTTAACTGTTACCTATTTCCCACATAACTTTTTTTGTGGAGATTAGTTTCTTTAATGTGTTGAGAGTTTATTTAGAAAAAAGGGCAAATAAACTTAGTTGGAGAACTCATTGTTCTAAGAAGTACCCCTGTGTGTGATGTACTCCTACCATAGGTATCCTGGATGGACCAGTAAAAAATGCTAGAAAGAGATTTAGAAATAGAAAATTGAGGGCCGGCCAAATAACTCAGTGGATTAAAGCGCCTGCAAGCAGGCACGGGGGCTGGGGGTTGGATCTCCTGGCCTGCCAGGCCGGCGCTGTCCCTGGGGTGTGCTGAGAAGGCAATTGAGACTGGGTGTGGTGACATGTGACTATAATCCCAGCTCTTGGAAGACTGTAAACAGAATCACTATGAGTCTGTTCTAGTAGTGAGACCCTGAACACCTTATAGACCCTTCCCTAAAATTAAAAAAAAAAAAAAGAAAGAAATAGAAAATTGAGGACTTTTAAAACTACTTGTCTATATAAAAATTAACTTCCTTTTATATATTATTCTTTAATAGCTCACTACAACCAGGAATTTTCTAGACTTTATGGGTCAGCTTAGATATTTATCCATGCTTAATTTTTTTTCTTGTTTTTAGAAAATACATAGCAATTTCTTTTTTCTTTTTTCTTTTTTTTTTTTTTTTTCGGAACACAGGGATTGAACTCAGGCCCTTGCGCTTATTTGAGGGAAGCGCTTATTCCACTGAGCCATCTCCCCATCCCCTACATTGCAATTTCTAGAGAACCAATTTTGGAATAGTTTTCTTTTTTGGGAGGGGGTAGTTTTGGGGGTGTATGTGTATTTTAAAATCCATGATCATAGACTTACTGTGTTAAGTTTGTACAGTATCTTTTGTTTAGGGTATGTTGTATTTATAGAGATTCTACCTCATTTGTCTTGGTAATTATCTTTTTTTTCATCCTGATTATTCTCATAGAAGCTGGTATGCCTTCTTCAGAATGGACCAAGAGGAAAAAACAGACTTTGAAAATTGGGCATGGGGGAACGCTAGACAGTGCAGCCCGAGGCATTCTGGGTAAGAGACATGAAGGAAATTTAACAGTCTTGTCCCTTAGTGTTAGAAAGGCAGATCGGCTGGACGCAGATTGAGTGGACTAAACCTTGTCATTTTCAGTCTACTGTGGAATGTTCTAGTTCTACTCAATTTAAACAGTGCTACCTTCTGATGAAGCCCTTAAATTGTACAGGACACACAGGGTCATTAGAATCAACGACAGGTATGTGTGGGTGGGACTTTGAGAAGAGGTTTGTATCTGTTCAGAAAACAGTGAATGTGGCAGGCCTGAGGCCTAGACTAGCTTCTGTGAATCTGGATTTTAGGAGTGTCTGCTCTTTGCTATCTTTTAGAAGTGTGCCATGCCTTGGCTGTTTGCACACTACTTTCCTTCTAGAAATTTGGAGTTCTGCCCTACAACATAAGCAGGAGGTGCTGGGGCGACCCTGCTCTGACTCTTCCTCCATCCCCAAAACAGATTTTGGGTGCTGAGTTTGCTGATGAGCTTCTCCAAGAGAAACATTACGCACATTGCTGCATTTTTCATTGTTGCAAAAAGCAGGCTTACGAGTTCTTCACCTGCACAGGAGGTACAGAAGCCTGTACTTGGATTTCTCTGATGTCTTTTTCTCTGGTGCCCCAGTGGTGTGTCTTTCCTCCGTTAATAATAAATCCTAGCTGTTCTTGAATACTTGGATGTGTGATGATGATGGAAGGTGTAGAACTCTTCTCTGCCTATAGCTAATCTAAAAGTGGAGATCAGCTCTATTGAGAAGGTAAACCTAATAGTTGTTGAGGAAAAGTTGGGTTTTTGGAACCCATTAGTTGACCATTTCATTACTTATGGAAGGAAAACTTGACAGAATTGATTGAAGGAAGAAAAAATATCCACCTCTTTTTATTCTCAAGTTTCTGTGGAGTACTGAGTGTTTCTGCAGAGGCTGGGATGTGTTTCTCAAACTATTTCTGTCACTACATCTGTAGTCACAAAAATACATGGATTGGGCGTTCCTTGTCACCTCTCGTCACATACTAAAAACAGATTTTATGAAACAGTACTTGCCTTTTCACATGTTCTGTTGTGTTATATTTTATTCAGTTTCATTTTTTAAAAGTTGATTGTAAACTGATTTCATGATGCACTAGCATGAGTGTATGTTATGATTTATAATTTCTAAGATATTGTGACATAATCTCAAACCCATATTACAACTAAAATCAGATACAAACAACAATAAAACCTAAGCTATCCAAAGGAAATAAGCACTTAAAAAAAAAGGAATAAAATTGGTGGAAGAATAATTTCAAGACACCGAGAAACAATGTATGGTTTTACATTTCCTAAAATTATAAATTTTATTTAATTCATGTTGGCAACAATACCTTTATTGGGGTAAAGGAGAAAAATCATAAGGGAAGCTATTTTCCTACATTAGAACGTGCATGGGTAAATTCTTTTTTTTTCCCCCCCATGGGTAAATTCTGACAACTGAAAACCACTGTGTTTTATACTAATGACAACATGCTTTTGTTGAGCACTTACAGTGAATGAGGTGGTAGTCTAGAGCATTCACTACTTTTACAGTTTATTCCTATTGTAACCCATAAGATAGGTGTTATCCCCACATTGTGGTTTGTGTCTAGGTGTCCCCCAAAGCCTCATGTGGTTATGGGGCGGCTTCTGGAGTTTGTGATTGATTATTGTGGGTGTGGATGCTGCACCTGCTGTGGGGCAGGTAATCTGCATTACAGTGTAAGGAGGGGAGAGAGGCTGGCTGGCTTCCAGAGCTGCTGCCACTCCCTTTCGCTCTCTGCTCTTTGCCCTGTGCCACTCTGCCTGGCTGGTACCTTTGGTACCAGCAGACTGTGGACAGAAATCTCCAGTAACTGAACTAAATAAACCTTTCCTGGGCCGGCCAGATAGCTCAGCGGACTAAAGTGCCTGCTTCGGCAGAGCACAGTGGCCTGGTTCGATCCCTGGTGTGCTGTGCTGCTCCTGCCCCCAGGGTATGCTGAGACTGGGATTGAGACTGGGTGTGGTGGTGTGCACCTGTAATCCCAGCGCTTGGGAGGCAGAAAACAGGAGAATCACTTGAGTCTGACCTACCTAGTGAGACCCTGTACACCCTATACAAATTTGTGAAAAATAAATAAGTAAACCTGTCCTTCCTTCATTTTGAGTGTCAGGTATTTGTCCCAGCCATGAGAGAAGAGTAACTGAGACACCCCAATTCACAGAAGAAAAAATGAAGACCCAGAGAGATTAAGTAGCGTGTCTCTTGTTATAGCATCAAATGAATGGCAAAGTGAAGAATTCACTGTAGATCTGTTCCCTTCCAAAGCCTTTGTCCCAGGTGGGATGGTTGATATTTGGCACTCCTGCCTTTGTGCCCTTTGCCCACTGCAGAAATTACTGATCAGTCACAACACTCAGCATTGTTCTGTAAGTGTCTTCCAGATTTTTCTCTGCTTCGCACTCTGGGTAGCCTCTACCCACTGATTATATTTGGTCCTTGAAATTGTCCTAACCATTCACTGTACCATTTTGTAAGGCACAGGACCATGAATTCAAAGAGGCGTAGTATCTACTGCTTATTTATTTATTTATTATGCTTTGCTGTCTCCGGTCTGCTTGCCACCAGCTGTTTGCCTTCTACTGTGCCCATCTGCCAAGCCACGCTGCCTTGGAGTCAGCCAATTAAGGACTGACGCCACTTCAGACTGAGCCAAAGTAAACCTTTCCTCATTTAACTTAGGTGTCAGGTATTTCGTTTCATCGGCAAGAGAAATAACTAATGCAGAAGGGGTCAAGGGGATGGATCTCTTGCTTAGGCAAGTTGTCCAAGGGATGAAGGGCAAGGCTGAGGGGGAGAGGAGGGGAAATGAATAAAGATATGCCATGTTCCAGAACATAATAGCCTCAGGTAATGTAAACATTGTACGCCCTAACATGAGCTAAGATTAATATCATCAGGAATGAAAACTGGCATAGGGGAATTGGAGGAGGAGGGAAGGAGGAGCTATAATATGTACATTAACCATTCCCAAAGATAACTATAAATTGCATGTGCTACAGACATGTATACTAATACAATTTTTAAGAATTCATGTGAGTTGGTCTCTAGAAATTAGAAAACGCAAGAACACTCCCCAGGAGAGACTAATGAGGTATTCTTCTGAAGACTTCGAAAAGAACACAGCCATCCCAGACTCTTAATTGATACATAATAATTGCCTTAGTCTAGTCAAACCCATTTCAGACTTCAGGCCTGTAGAACTGTAAGGAGTTTGAAGCCAATAAACCCGTAGTTTGTTACTCTATCTGTGTATCCATAGTCAGCATCCATAGTAAACTAATGCATCCATTTTCCATAAATCACTCGAGATCTGTCTTAGTTACTTTTCTCTCCTTGTTGGGACAAAATACAGTTTGTGGAGGTTTCAGTGCAATCAGTTGGCTCCAAGGCAGGCGGCACCGTGAGGGCAGCAGTTCAGTGCAGCAGGAGCCAGCAAGGGCAGCAGGAGCAGCGAAGTGGCCGGGCGAGCCTTTTTTCCTTGCTGTATGTTGCAGGCAGGCAGCCCGCCCTGGCTCACACCTCCTCCTGGCCCTCCTCTTTCACAGACTCTGAAGGTTTACAAAGTGAGGCCTTTGGCCCCCTGCGGAGGCGCTTCCTTGGACTTCTAAACTTCTCAAGCTGATGCAGTGAACAACGTCTAGAGCTGTGTCCTCTGCACCCCAGAACGTAGACCTGCTGGGTTACTTGCTTAAGCCTCTGGACTTCTCAAATACACACAGTGTATCAACTATTACAAGACCGAAACAAAATTTTTACACACCACTTTACAGTGGATCTTTTTTCTAACTTTAGAGGTTATAAAAGCACAGTAGAGAAAATTTTGAAAATACAAGAAACAAAATTGAAAGTTTAAAATTAACCCTTTTAGTGCCTTCCAAAGAATCAGTTTATATTTTTGCTGTATTTCTTCTTAATTTTTATCTGTACAAATTTTAAATGTTTAGTTCTAATTTATGTATTTTTTATATCATGTTTTTCTACTTAATGTTATAAAATTATTTAAAAACTAAACATTATTTTAATGGCTACTAGATAAGAGTAGAAACACAGTGTGACCATTTCTCTGTTTCGGGTCACTGAGGTTGTTACTAGAGTTCTATTAATAGAACTGATTTTGTAGGAACAACTTTATTAATAGGACCTTCTGTATGTTCTGGACTTTTAGAATAGATGCCTAGAATTGGAAAGGTACAGGTCTTAAAAGATGATTAAGAAGGTGTTACCGAGTTAGAAAAATGGTGATGGAAACTTCCAATTGAAAATGCATCGGAAATGTGTAGAGAGTACCTTTGTCCGACCTAAAATGGCTTTCACAATGAACTGATTTTTATCTTTATGATTTGAGAATAGACAACTAGGACGTTGGGTAGATGTGGAGATAGTGAGGTCTTTTTTTTTTCTTTCTTTTTTTAACACATAATATTGAGTGAGCACAGGAAATTTAGAAGATAGAGTAGTGATTGTGTGTTTGCAAGGAAAGGCCTCCTGCTTGTCTGACCACTAAGTGCTGCGCTCTCGTAGACCGTGTCCTTGTTCATGTCTTTACATGAAGGCTTATTTCCATCATCACTTGTATTAACTTTTACATTTGGCTGAAAACTGCTGTCTTCAAAGTATGAAGGCTGCTCACTTCCTTTTTTATTGCTAACATAAACTTATTCATTTGGTTCTCTCTGTTTCTAACATTTGTCTCCCTATAAGGTTGTAAACTACTCAACTGACATCCCAGAGCTTATTTATTTCTGTATTTATATAGTAGTGCAATTTTGAAGCATCAAATGACAGGCAAAAAGCTAAGGGGAACTTCTGTTTAGGAATATAAGATTCCTTTTGTCTTCTTTTCGTGTTGTTTTTTGTTTGTTTTTATTTTGAGATGAGTCTTGCTAGTAAGTAATTCAGGCTGGCCTTGTACTCACTATATAGCCCTGGCTGGCCTTGAGCTCACTACGTAGCCCAGGCTGGCCTTGAACTTTCAGCCTTTCTCCTGTCTCAGCCTCTTGAGTGCTGGGATTATAAGCATGTGCCACCATGTTCAGCTGTTTTGGTTTTTGAGCAGGGTCTTGTCTGTGTTTAGGTTTAGGTTTGCCTTGAATTCTACGTAGCCCAGCATGGCTGGAATTCACAGCTGTCCTCCTCCTGCCTCACCTCCTGAGTGCTGGAATCACAGGCATCTACCACCATGCTCAGCTCCCTTTTGGTTTCATCAGCCTTCACCCCTGCCTGTTGCAAGGGTCCCAGTTCCAAATAATTTTTCTACATTACACTGCTGATTAGTCTTCCCCAAATGCAACTTTCACTATTTAAGTGGTCACTTAATTTCATAGGCCCTGTTTTTCAGGGAGTGAAAAGGTTAAGGTGGGTAAGTGTAAGGCATCTTCCTTTAAAGTTCGTTTTTCTGGATCATTTAATTAGAAGTCATCATCAGTTTGACATTTTGACTATGGTAAAATTAAGTAAGTCAGGTGTTTTTTTTTTTTTTTTTTTTTGCGGAACTGGGGATTGAACTCAGGCCCTTGCGCTTGCCAGAGAAGCGCTTACTCTACTGAGCCATCTCCCCGGCCCCTCAGTCTGCTTTTAACACACCCTCTACGCTGGTTGATAAAGCCACTGAATTTGTGCCTTTTGTTCCTCCTTTAGAACATGCTTCTCTTCTCTTGTGTGTGTGTTCAAGTCCTGTATGTTCTTCAAGGCCTAACCAGTGAAGTGTCCTCTTTTAGCCTTGTACATTCTACAGCAACTGTTCTCTGTTCATTTTGATGCTTAATCATTGTGTTTATCGTTACTTACCATTATTTACTCACTAATTCAGGACAGTTTTGAGCACTGTAATTTCCTTTTGCTTCTTTACCCCCTGAGATGAACTCTTTCCAAGTTAGGAAATGTGTGTTTGACTTTGTTGTCCTACCAGAAATGTCTGTCTTGAGACTCTGTACATAGTAGATGTAAAAAAATTTGATTAAGAGGAATTCATTGGAATCAAATCAAACTGCATTGAGTCTTGGTTGTTATTATTATGTAGTTCTGCTTCATCAGCAATGCTATTGCGCTCTCTCATTTGAAGAGTATTTTACTTTTTACAGTATACTGAAGGTGGCTTTTGATCTTTGCCCTTGGGCTAATATGACTGTTTAGGACCCAAGGATCAATATGAGTGAATTTCACAGAAGTTCATAGGAGGTTTGGGATAGACTTTATGAATGAGTTGGGAATTTAGCTGGGCTTTAAAGATAGATATTGAATATTAAGAATTGGTACTATAGAAGTTGAAATCTGATTAAGGATTGCTGGGGGCTTCGTAGTATATGAAGTGGGGTTTAGTATAAGGATTAAATTAGATTATAAATGGAAAGCATTCAGAGAGAATGCCATACACAGCAAACTCACTGAATGATATTTGCTGTACTTACTGATTTTTTTTTTTTAATTTTTATTTATTTGAGAGCGAGAGAGAGAGAGAAACAGAGAGAGACAGAGAGTGAGTGTGTGTGGTGTGTGTGTGTGGCCAGCTCAGCCCACCAGGGGGCGGGGCTGGCTGGCATGTGGTGCTGGGGGATCGAACCGCGGTCCCTGATGTTTTGCTAAGCTTGTTCTAAGTAGGTGCTTTAGACCACTGAGCCATCTCTCCAGCCCCACTTACTGATTTTTTTTTCAGTTTTTCAATCATTTTTCCTTGCCTCCAGATTTTGAATTGTGGAGTCATATTGTGTTATTTTTTTTTTTAAATGTTTTATTTATTTATTTATGTGTGTGTGTGTGTGTGTGGCCAGCTCAGCCCACCAGGGGGCGGGGCTAGCTGGCATGTGGTGCTGGGGGATTGAACCGTGGTCCCTGTGCCTTGCTAAGCTTGTTCTAAGTAGGTGCTTTGGACCACTGAGCCATCTCACCAGCCCCATATTGTGTTCTTATATACAGTTGTATTTGTTAATGACAAACATTTCAATTCTTATTTTAAAAATTGCCTGCTGTTAAATAAACAAATGATTAAATCTTCTCAACGATCTGATAAAATATGTTATTGTAAGGATAATGTTTGAAATTGAAAAGTAGGTGCTTTTTTAAAAAAAAAAAAAAAAAAGAAAACAGTCTTATAGTTGGTCTGTGGTAAAATACCTTCTGAATGTGATTGTGCACGACTGTAATCCCAGAACTCTGGGAAGCTGAGGCAGAAGGATCATGAATATGAGCCCAGAGTGGGTGACTGAGTGACTTTGGAAGGCCTGTGTCAAAATTAAAATTTTTAAAAAGGCTACAGATATACTCAGTGTGAAGACCTAGCTGGATTTAGTCTACAGTGCTGGGGGAAAAAATCTCTGAGCCTTCATTTTGCCTGTAATTTTCCTGTGTGTTAGGCTGATTTGTTGTGTTTCTTTTCTTGATTATGTAATGCTGGGCACTAATCATCTTTTAAATGGTTCATTAGCTATGATGATGGCTTTTGCTTTGTTTAATAATGAATTCTCTCAAGATTTGATCATACTATTTGAACATGGTTGATTGTACCATGTAGTTTTCACTGGAGCCCATTTAAATCTCTAGTAAGTCCTTAGAGATTGTTCTAGAAAACTTCCTTATCTAATTGGTTAGATTGAAATTTCTTTCCTGTTAAATATTTTGAGAAAAATTTCTTTCTCCCATTCCCTCCTTAGAATTTTTTAGTTGCCTGGCAAGTTCAACTGATTGGAATAATAGGAACTCTTAAATTATAACTATATACTCTTTTCAACTTCATGTTATATAGGTCAGAAAAGTATAAACAAAATATGTAGGTTTTTTAAAGCTTAGTTTTCAAAATAAAGTATCTTAATATTTTTCTTTTTGATTTGTAGTCATTGGAATTGGAAGGGGAACAAAAATGTTGAGCAGTATGTTGTCAGGGTCCAAGGTAAGAATGCTGGAATATCTTTTATTTTTTTCTTCAATGTTTCCCATAATGACATAGTGTACATGTTGAATTTTCTCACTTAAAAAATAATGTAAGTTGCTTTTGGACAATTTTTTTTTTTTTTTTCAAATCACAGTGTCAGCAAACATCCTATTGGAGACTCAGATATTGCAGCTATAAATTAAAAAACCAATTAGACTTAAAGTAGCAAAAATCCTGCAGTGTATGCATAGTTTTAGATTTTTAAGATAGAATCAGATTTCTTAGATGAAAACGTTTATAGGTTGTAAGTTCTTTTGACTGATTTTTTTAAACCTTGAAATATGTATAAACACAGTAACATTTTGTAAGCCGTACACTCTTAAGCAAAAAGATGTCTTGTTCAGTGTTTATGAAAGACAAGAGTGGGGCTTCTTTAAAATGGTAAGTTATATGCATCTATGAAAGTGGACTAGATACAAAAGCAATTTCTAGGGGACTTGATAGGAGAAGACGAGGCGCTCTGAAGGCCAGAGAGGCTGGCGTCGTGTGGACGGCTTCACACGTGCAGAGTTTAAGGAACACGACCCAGGAAGCAGGACATCGAAGTGGTTGACCTCCCCAGGAAGCACTGTCAGCGTCTCTTCCGGCTCTGAAAGGGACAGCAGTGTGTGTATCTTAATTAGCAGCAAGGCCCTGGTTGTAGAGCTGGGGTAAGCGGTTCCCGTGAACACGCCTGTGGAAGGAAGAGGAATGTGCCTGTAAACAGAGAATTTTAACAAGTTCTTAGACTAAACTTCTTGTTTTAAAACCCTTGCGTCAAAAGGGATATAAATAGTTGGTAGAGAATTTCCCATTTGCTGCAGACTGATTGATGCTTTTAAAATGTAATCAAATGTTAGGCCACGTCCAGTCACCGAGTAAGTTTTGAACACTCATTTTCTGAGCCTGTCTTGTTAATCGACCCTGGCCCCATGGACCATGCTTTGCGTGGCAGTAGTCTGAGGAAGTTTTTCTCAAAATAAAAATCCCTGGGTACTCAAGGGCATAAAAACCTGTTGCCTTTCTATTGGAAGGCAACTTAGTGCTGTAGGTAACTGAAAAATTTTAGCGTGCCTTGCTTTGTTCTCTTCAAAATATGTGTTGGAAAAAAATCACAGAATACAAAAATTGTGTTAGAATGGAAATGTTTGACTATTTCCCAAAAAGTTTATACACTGAGCTAAATGCCGACACACACAGTTTATAATCTGTTTCTGATACAAGTTTTGCCAGTTGCTTAATATTTGCTTAAGTATAAATTGGTTACTCAGTAGGGGAAAGTGAGTGGTTTTATTTTCTTGTTTAGATTATTTGGTATTGTCTAAAATCTTTACAGTCACTTTTATATTAATAACCAAAGGCATACTAACATGAAGAAATTTGGTTAGTCTTTTTTTCCCAACACGAAATTTCTCCAGTTCATTGAAGTACATGTTATTCACTACCCTCAATCCAAACCAAAAACACGTACAACATACTGTATGTTGCTGAAACAACTCGTAATTTCCAGACATATTTTCACAAATACAATGATTGAAAACATAAATACATCACTGACTGGTTTACATTTTGTTACGAAACCATGTTGCTGTTCACCTAGGAAAGCTAAATGTCTTATGTTGAAATGAGGGATCCTCAGATGGCTGGGACCGAAATAGAATAATCCAGGTGGATCTTGGTACAGAAACCTGGTTCTTGGGCGTGTCACACTTCAAACACGCGCTCTTCCTGTTAACCATATTTCTCATACTATTATTTTTGTATTAGATCTGTTAAGTCATTTAAGTCTTTTAAGTATATTGAACATGAAACTTGTCAAAAGTAATTAAAAACTATTTTTGAATATTTTTCTGATAGTTTTTGTTCTTGTTTTAGCACTGGAAGGGGTTTTAGAGATCATTTTACCTAGTTGTTTCAAATGCCTTTTTTACTAAGAGTAACAGTAAGAAATTCATTTTTACATCATGACCCTATATACACAGGTATAAAAAGCAAAAATTTTATCAAATGCAGCAATATGGTATAATATACTTTATTTTTTCCTTCAGTTTTGTTTTAAAATTGTTAGTAGCTATAGCCTTTCAACCTACCCCAAATATGTTTAATCTTATATGTCCTTTTTCTCCCCTTCTGTTTTTAGATTTATTTTTATTTGTATTATGGTATTACTAGGAAAAAAAAAAAAACTTTTGCTTGTGTGTTTGGTGCAGTTGCTTCAAGCCTGAAATATTTTATTCTGGAATGGTATTCAATATTAATGTTACAGGAATATTATATTTCTCACTAGCAAGTCCTAATTAGAGACATTACTAATTGAATATGGCTACCAGGCAGTCTACAAAATTAAGAAATAGCCTTAAAATTCTTTACAACACACTACTCCAGTTCATACAACCACTGTAATTGGTAGGTAGAATAGTGGCCTTTTAAATAAAATTTTTAGCTGGACCTGGTAGTACACCCAGTACTCAGAAGGCTGAGGCAGAGGATTGTGGGAATTCCAGGCCAGCTGGGCCACAGGGTGAGTGAGTTCAAGGCCAGCCAGAACTACATAACAAATCCCTATCTCCAGAAACCAAACAACATCAACAACAAAAACATTACACCATCAGCCCATTATTTAGCCTCCATCTGTGAAGGCTAGAGACTAGGCAGACCACCCAACTTTTCTTGCTTTTCCTTTTATTCAGAACAAGGTATAAAAGTTAAGAAAAGACACATACCTGCCCTGTATTCATCATTCTTGCTGTTCTGTCTTATGTAAGCTTTGTTTTGCCTACGATCATGTTTCTCTGGAATCTTTCATGTATCTATGTTTAATGTTTTAATGCATGCGCTTGGGTCACATGTATAATAGATTTTAAAAACATGTTTTATTTCCGTGTGTGTGAGAGAATTAGTTATTGGGGTCTCACTACAAGCCCCATTTCTTTTTTTTTTTTTAAATATTTTTTCAATTATTTATTTATTTTTCTTTATTACATTTATTTATTGTGTGTGTGTGTGTGTGGCCAGCTCAGCCCACCAGGGGGCAGGGCTGGCTGGCATGTGGTGCTGGGGGATCGAACCGCAGTCCCTGTGCTTTGCCAAGCTTGTTTCAAGTAGGTGCTTTAGACCACTGAGCCATCTCTCCAGCCCTACAAGCCCCATTTCTAACCCTTGTATTTATTTTTTATTTTGAGATAGGGTCTTCCTAAGATATGCAGGCTAGCCTTGAACTTGTTTTTTTTTTTTTTTTTTTTTTTTTTTTAATTTTTTATTTATTTGAGAGAGAGAGAAAGAGAGAGAGAGAGTGGTGTGTGTGTGTGGCCAACTCAGCCCACCAGGGGGCGAGGCTGGCTGGCATGTGGTGCTGGGGGATTGAACCGCGGTCCCCGATGCTTTGCTAAGCTTGTTCTAAGTAGGTGCTTTAGACCACTGAGCCATCTCTCCAGCCCCAGCCTTGAACTTGTGATCCTCCTATCTTAGCTTCCCAAGTAGCTGGGATTACAAGTGTGTACAACTGCCAAGCCCAGTTAGCGAGCCTTCTGCCTTCTATATAGAAGTTGCTAAGTAATAGTGTAATCACTGTGTCATGTATCACCAAATCTTTTCCTTCCAGAGTTCTAATCATGTTAGATTTCTCTAGCTAGAAGTCCCATATGAATTTTACACAAGGAAGTTCTGCTGGAAATATTGAATGCTGTTAGTTGCATCTTTCTTCATTGCTATCTATGATTTATTGGCAAAGTTATGACAGTCATCAGGATAAGCCTGTCAGTTCTTGAAGGGAGAGACAGAATTTTTCTGGGTATAAAGTCAGAAACAATGTCTTATAATAAGAAACACTGAATAACAAGTGATACTTCTCAAAAATAGTTTACAGCAGATACAAATGTGCATAGAAATAATAGGTAAAATGATCTAAGAAGTTAGGCTAATGTATGCCTTTGGCTTAACTTGGCTTAAATATAGGAGAGAGGTTATCTAAAAGAAGGCAATAGTCTGTCTGCCTGCCATCTTCCCTAAATTATAATTTCTTTGAGTCAAATATTCAGCAAAAGCTGGGATAGCAGATACTGTACTTTGAAGTAACAGTCTTTGATGAGGTGTTGGAGTGCTATTTTTATTAGTTTTTTTATATCAGTGATTGAAGCTGGTTACTTTATAGGTGTTCCAGAGATCAGGTAAACAGATGTGAGGGTTGATATCCTCTTATGAAAACTTGAATCTAATTAGCATTTTTCAAGCATAAGGTTACCCCCGTATATGAAAGACAACCACAGTGGTACCTGCAAGCAAAGCTAGCATTTTCTCAGAAAGCAGGTTTATTATCACCTCCAGTGAATGCACAGGTATTATTCTTAGGGTGTATAAAATTTTCCATGTGGTCAGAAGCATGTGGTCAGAGAACAGAAACTTGCCCTAAGAGCATTACAGCATTTTTTAGGTGAACTGGTTGTGAGACCTCTGAAGTGTGGCTCTAATAAGGCCCCTCTTCAACTTCCACACCTCTCTAAAATTTTAGCATTCTAATCAGTCGTCTCCAGAGGCTAGTCCAATTTGTACCTTTTCTTTTTCCTCTATTAATATTCAAACATTTCGTAAGTACTGTATTGAAAAATTTGAAGGGCTTACACTTAGGAACTATAAAGAGCTATTTCTTCATAATGAAGACATTCAAAGGATTTAGTAGGCCTCTAAAAAATATTCTGCCTCATCTAAATAATATCCTTCCTTTGCTTGTGAAAATCTGAGGGGTTAGGGATATAGCTCAGCAGCACAGCGCCTGCCTGGCAAGGACAAGGTCCTAAGTTCAGTTCTCAGTACTAAATAAATACATACATGAAAATTTGAATCACAACGTTTCAAAAGTGAGTGTCAGACAAAACTATTGCTTATTTGAGGTAAAAATTTTTGCACACACTTCCACAATATAAACCTTTTCGTCTCTCCTTAAGGGTACAGAAGCTGATTGGCTCTTAGTGATTCTACTAGTATCTGCTGTGGGACTCAGGGAGCTGGAAGGTGAGTAGGGAAGAGCAGTGTTAGTGAGAAACCTTGAGTCCTGACGAGCACGTACAGCTCAGTGGAATAGTCTGTAGGACTTCCATTTGTTTCATTGTATAGTATAATGATGTTGCAGTGAATACAGTAAAAGAAGTCAGTATTCCCAGGTACATGTGCTGGAGAATAAACAACTCCAAAATCTCGCTAAAGTCTCTGTAAGGGCCAGTGTAAGGAAATACTTGAGACCCCATAGGATAGAAGTGGCATGGCTCTATGCTTCCAGCTTCCTGTCTGTTTTTCCTCTATCTCCTATCTTTCTGGTGGTGAAGCTTTGTTTCAGCTGGATTATCTGTCTGGGCAAGTTTTCTAGCTTTGGGTAACTGAATAGAATTGAACTAAATTAATAACTGGTGCCAGAACAAGGTAGAGTTGGAAACAGCTGTGATTTAGACCTGTGATTGGCTTGTAAGATGTGGTCCTCAGGCTTTTGGATGGGGCTTGGAGGGCCCATGGGAGTCAAAACTATTTTCATAATTTTGCCTTTTTTACTTCAAACTTCATGGAAGTGAAATTTTTCAATTTATCAGATGTGTCATGACAGCACTGCTGTGATGGCTGATGGAATGTGTACGTACTGTTTTAACATTGACATAATATTTTAAACATTTTTCAGTTTTTAATTTCTAGTGTAGTAAATATTGACAGATGCACTGTATTCTTTTAGAAACCTGTATCCGGGTTTCTCCGTAAGTCTTAAGAGTGTACAGGGGTTCTAGAGCCAAAATGCTTGAGAGCTCCTGCTTTCGGTGCTCTCCCCCTATGTTAGAGACAGAGAGAGAGACAAGCTGCTTTCTGTCCCTTCTATTCAGGCTACCCACCCTAGAGTGGGCGTAGCACTCACACCCTTAATGCAAGTCTCGGACTGTGAATCAGTCACAAGCTCTAGAAGTCCACCTCACAACTGAATGAGGGCTTGGGAGGACATCTAGGTACAACCGTAACACGCCCCCTCCAAAAAATAATCAACATATAGCCAAATACGCAATAGCTGTGGAACCTAGAACGACTGGAGATTTCGTAGATACAGTCTAGATGTCCAAAATTAGGGTAAAACCTGAAGACTTGTACACAGAGAAACTGCTCCTGTTTATAATTCTATCAAGATGTTATTAAACTGCTACCGTATTTCCATCAAGTAAGGAATACAGCAGAACAATAGTGCAAAATCCTGATAATTTGCGAAGGTAAGAATCAAAACATAAATTATACTTGGAAAGCATTGGTCATGTATGGGTAATTGTGTATGAAGCAGTACGGTATGGGAGCTCCGGAGAATGAACTTCTGGTGACAGAACTTAGGCCTGTTATCACCATTCTGTTCTTTCCTCTATGCTGTAGTTGTTCTACTGTTATCTTATCCTTCTACCTTGTAGCCTCCTATAGACCTAGAGATAACGTAACCCTTCTAGCTTATGTTGGTGTGTCTCCTAAACACCTAGGAGAATACTCTGTACATTCATGGTCTTTAAAAAACATGGAGAGCTATTTGTCTGTCAATATAATTATGGAAATAAATAAATAAATAAATAAATATGCAAAAAACTAAAAAATAAAAAATAAAAAAACATGGAGAAATTTGTGGATCTGATACAGGACTTTATTCTTTTTATGTATGATGTAGAGCATCATCTCTTGGCCATATTTTGGGTGCTTGGGACTAGGTGATTAGGAGTTGGGGTGGGTTTTACAGGGGAGCTTTGAAAGGTGAACATGGTTTTGTTATTGGAATCTCTTGGCTTTTGACTGTCCTGGAAGGCTGTGCTGGAATCTTACTGGGTAACTCCTAAAAGTGGCTCGCGGGGGCTGGGGATGTGGCTCAGTGGTAGAGCGCTTGCCTTGCGTGCACAAGGCCCTAGGTTCTATACCCAACACTATACTGAAGAAACAAATGAATAAGTGGCTCACCAATGAAATGGCACAGTATGCAGGGTTGCACTGCTTTTCTTGTGCAGGTAGGTAGACTCTTATAGGGAAGTACCATAGAAATTCATATTTTTTGTATGGCAGCTCACTTTAACCAGATGAGTGATTCACTCTGATTACTGTTATTATCGATTATTCTGCTCCTCTTGCTCCTTTTTTTCCTCATCCTCCTCCTTCTCTTGCTCTTTGGATTCCTTTTTCTCTCCCTCTTCCTTTTCCTGACTCCCTTCTTGTTCTGCTGTTCTTTTTCCTCCTCTCCCTCCCTAAATCTTACCCCTTCCTGTCCTTGCTTGATATAATGGTACTAGTGCCAGTGTCCATTGTTTACCAGAGCCAGACACTGTGGTTCTAATTTACCTCTCCTCATGAGGTGCTTGCTATTAATTTCCTCATTTTGAGACAAGAAGCAGACAAGACTAACTTAACCAACTTGCCCTCTATGGTTGAGCCAGAGACTAGACCCAGCGAGTTTAAGTTGGAACAGGGGTGGGGCATAGCAGGTGGTAGGACTGAATATTCGGTGACAAGAAACTGACCTTTATTAATCTTTTTTTGTGTGTGTGGCCAGCTCAGCCCACTGGGGGCAGGGCAGGTATAGCATGTGGTGTGGTCCCTGTGCACTTTGCCTAAGCTTGCCTAAGCAGGTGCTTTAGACTACTGAGTTATCTTGCTGGCCCAACTTTTATTAATCTTGATGAAGGTTTTTAAAATTACCTCGATTGAAGGCTAGGGAGATAGCTCAGTGGCACCCACCACCTGCTTGGCAAGCACAAGGTGTGAGTTTGATTCCTGGTAAAAAAGAAAAAAAAATTACTTCAAATACATTGAAACATCTCCTATACTGTATTTTTTTTTTAACCCAAGAATGTAATGTACAGGTAATTTTATCAAAGGACTTTGGCTGCTGTAAATGTTTGCATGTTTGTGGGCTTTAAATTTTTAATATTTTTCTCTCTGACCCTGTTCATAAGCATAAATGTCATTATCATTACTAAACTTACTTTTCTAAAAATTACCTTGATTTTGTCTTTAAGAACTGCTCAGAGGGCCAGGGAGATAGCTCAGTAGAATAAGCGCTTGCCTGGTAAGGGCCTGAGTTCAATCCCCAGTTTCACCCAAAAAAAAAAAAAAAACCCCAAAAAAACTGCTCAGAGCTGCCAAATAGCTCAGCAGATTAAAGCACCTGCAAGCAGGCACAGGAGCTGGGGGTTCAATCCCCAGGCCTGCCATGCCGGCCCCACCCCTGGGGTGTGCTGAGGTGGCAATTGAGACTAGGTGTGGTGGCGCGTGCCTGTAATCCCAGCGCTTGGGATGCTGTAAACAGGCAGATCACTGCAAGTCCGATCTAGTAGTAAGTCCTGAACACCCTGTAGACCCTTCCCTAAAATATAAAAGAAAAGTAAAAACAACAACAAAAAACCTGCTCATATAAATACAGATTATTTTTAGTGGGAAATAACAGTCCCTGTGCTTTTCTCAGTTCTGTGTGTGATACTTCAAATGAAACTAGAATTTGACCAAAAATGAATACTTAAGAGTGTGTACCAGGGTTCCCTCGGATGAGAAGATAGTCCTCAGTTATGTAAGAATGATATGATTCTTCATTTGTCCATAGTAATTCTGAAAAGTGACTTTCCTTTTGGAGAGCTGTATATCAGTTTCTTCCCCAACCCTTGTGTGAGACAGGGTCTCACTGTGCAGTTCAGGCTGGGCTTGAACTCCCTGTGTAGCCCAGGCTAGCCTTGACCTAATGGTGATCCTCTTGCCTCAGCCACTGGAGTGCTGGGATCACAGGTGTGTGCCACCATGCCTAGCTAACTTCTCTTTACATTTTACCCTAATTTTAAACATCTAGATTGTATCTATGAAATCTCCAAGTATGCTAGGTTCTACATGTAATAGTTAAGTGTGCTACCCCTGCTCTGTTTTGCTCACTTTCCATGCTCTTGCTTACGGGTGATTAGTTACTAAGACTGGTCTTGGTATTTCATATAAGTAATCAATTGGCATATTTAAAATTTTAGTTGTATGTGTGGTAAAATGATTGATTCTTATTGTGGCCATGTCATAGTTTTCTGTGTTATTCTCTCTACTCCTGGGTATCCATTTGTTTCTGGTGTATGTGGAGGGTGGTAGGTTCCAGAGCCTCCGTGGACACCAAAATCCACAAGTGCTTAAGTCTCTTACAGAAGATGGCATCGTGTTTGCATATAATTTAAATGCATCTTCCAGTACACTGAGTTTAAGTCATCTCTGGATTACTTAGAATACCTACTACTGTGTATGTTTTGTGCACATAGATGCTAAACTGTATCCGTTACGCAACAGTGACAAGAAAAGGGGCACGTTCATACTCAGTCCAGATGCAGATTTGGGGAACCCTTGATGTTGCGATTATTTGGTTGGATTTATGGATGCAGAACTTGTGGATGTGGATGGCCAATGGTGTTTGAAAACTTTCTTTAAACAACAAACTTCTCCATAGAAAAATGTTTTAAAAAATTTGAGATAATGCTTATAGACATTATCACTGTAATCAGGTTTTTGTTTCTCACGTGGAAAATATGTGAGTTTTTCCTCAAATAACACAAGTGCTTCCTTTGATTGGGAGCAAACTGACACAGCTGTTGTAGTGTATGGTGTTTGCCTTCCTTTTGTATTAGGCTAGTAGTGTTAGTATAATCCTGTGTAAACTCAGGGCACATGCGATGGTTTTTTTATTAACTCTTGGGCCTTTGTTCTTCCTTCCTCTAGAGGTACATTGCCATTGGAGAGCTGGGGAAAGCCACCGACACACTAGATTCTACGGGGAAGGTGACGGACGAAAAACCTTATGGTACGAAGTCCATGTCATGAAGTTCTTAACATCTGGAGAATGTTTCTCTAAATGCATGACTTAAACATAAAACTCTTAACTTGGTATTTCCGGTGATTTTAGTACATTTCTTTAGGTTAAGAAATTTGGAAATTATCACATTGTTATTTGGTATAAGTTTATGCATAAACACTTTTTATAATTTTTTTATATAATGAATCTTTGCAGTGTTGATTTATTCTTCCCTACCCAAAACATTTATAGCTAGATTCTAGGTTATTTTTCCCTAGTAAATGAAAAAGCAGAGATACTGTCTTGCTAGATCTTACCTGTCTTGCCTTTTAAAAATAATTACCTCTTAGCTGTTAAAGTAGAAGTGACTGTGCCAGGGTTAGTCCTGAACACTCATCATGTTCCTGTGCTTTTGGAGGAAAAAGACAGTACAGAGGGAAAGCTAATTTTCTAAAGTAGAGTATAACTCTCTAAGGCCCACCTTAATTTTTCTGCCATTCCTTCTAAGCCTGCTTTAAGAAAGGATAGATAAATGAATTGGTCTCCCAGCAACTCTCACAGCGCTTGTGCTATTTATAAAGCAGCCGGTGCAGTTTTGTCAGTCGGTTCACCTGCATTATTATGTCACCGATTGTGAGTTATTTGTAGGCATTTTCCCCCCATGCTTGGTGTTATCTGTTCTTCATTTGGCCATAGGGAGTCCAGCATCTGGCTTCCCTATGTTTTTAGGTCAGTTATCTTTATTATATATTATTAATTGCCCCTGTAGTGAGTCTGACCTTTTTCTTACTCATAATAGCTTCTCTTATACTGTTAATATTTATATGTAGCTTAGTATCTTGCCCAGTTAATGAAGTAACATAATGAAAAGATCGCTATTTATTTCTGAGTCTTTTTCAAACTAGATGTTAAATTATCCCAGAAATTATTAACAGTATGAGCAAATAGTAGCAGACCCTTATTTAGCTGACACCTAACTATAACCTTCAGCCAGAAGGCTTTCATGATTTAAGGGGCGTAAGGCTATAAGAAGATAGCAGAAATTTCCAGAGTATATAAATGGATAGTGGCAGTATTATGTAATTAGGTCTCCTATGTGTTTATCTCCATTTACCACATGTAAATAAGAGTGATTGATATTCAGAGTAAGTCATAGGATAGTATATGGTTAAAGCTTCACAATTATGAAATGGACTACACTAAATAGGCTTAATTTCTAGCTGTGCCCTGTTACAGCTGTGTAACCTTGAACTCTCGTAATCTCTTTATGTTTGTTTCTTCGTGTCCAAAATGATGATAATGTTACAGTGTTACTAAGTTGATTGATTGGAAGAGAATGGATATTGGGGTCTCATAGGCAAGTCATGAGGCTCTTGTAGCCCTGGCAGAGATGAGGGTAACTTGGAACAGGGTGGGGGAGGTAGAGAAAAAGCTTCACATTAGAATGGTGGGTAGTACATACCTCTGGTGAGATTTGTTGAATGTTGATGAATGGAGGGGAATACTGAGGAATTGTCAACCATAACCGAGGTTTTTGGGTTAAAATTGATTGCACAGTTCTGTAGTTTACTGAGTGGAGAATACAAGAAGAGTATTCGGGCTGACGGAAATACTTAAATACACTCTTCCTAGCTTTAAATGTTTGGGAGTTTTAAAAAGTGTACTCTGTGTCGGATAATTTCTAATTTATTTACTTACCTTAAAGATAGCTCAGTTTGATAGGATAATTTATTATAATGTAATAAGTCATAGAGGAACTAAGTAAGGCTCTTCAGGCCCTGTACAGGAGAGCTTCATACAGTTTATAGAATAGTGTTTGTGGTCTAGGAAAAGTGAGAGCTCCAGGCGCTGTGCAGATTGGCGTGGTTTCTCGGTGTGCTTTCAATAAATCATCCTGCACCCACTGACCATCAGAGCCCCTATCACAAGCGGCAAGGGGAAGATAAATGAAAGGAAAACCTAGCCTGTGTTCCGTAAGGACACTTTTTTTTCTTAAAGAGAATAAAAAAATAGAAAAATAAACAATGCACAGTTTCACTAAACAAGATGATTGGAATTCAACAATGGTTATTTTGCATATTGTTGTCTTCAAATTACTTGTTCAGAGTACCAGATATAAGCATGCAAATTTGGTCAAAAAATTTAAGCTATTGCCTGCTTCTTGCAGTAGACCTGTAGAAATCAGCAGTGCAGTTATCCAAGCTGTACTACGTATATACGTACATATTTTTCCTTTTTTTTTTCTTTTCTCCTTTCCCTCATCTCACATGTTCCTTCCCGTTGGACAGTTTCTTTCCTTTTTACAGTATCTATTGTACCTTTCAGATTTTATTTACTCTTTCAGGTAGAATTTATTGTCTTAAAGGTTCTCAGTGCTTGAAGAATTAATTCTGGGCCCTGTGACAAATATTTTATATGCTTTTATTACTATCCTGAAATGAAATCCAGAAATACTCTAACTGACATGCACATACTTTTAAAGTCAATATAATGCAGTGAATGAAATGTCACAGATAAAGGCAATTTATATTAAGTAGGTGTGCTGATATGTAAATATACAAGTATTCCTACACTAAAAGTCTTCGTGAAGTAATCAGATGTTTACACTTCTACATCAGTTACTCATGCCTGCCACAGTACAAATGCAGACTGATACAAGTTTACCAATGCCTCAGTACTAGGAAATTCAGTATATATAAAATTGGGCAAAGAATACTTTGTTTAAATGTAAAATTAAATTAAATTAAAGCCTCGGGTAATTATAAACAGTCTTTTCTTCTATGGGACTCTCTGGCGGACAGCCCAGAGTTAGGCAGTACCGAGGACAGTTCCTCCTCCGTTCTGATCTCCTTTGGCAGGACACGTAGCCTGACCAGTCCTGCTCGTTGAAGACCAGCGATGCCACCCCTCCCACCCTCGCTGTAACTGCAAAATGCAGTTCTTAATTGACCTGGGAGAACAACCGACATTTTAGATAGTGCAACCAAGAATCTGCAGTCAGTGGCAAATGAATAGTCTTCAATTTTTCTGTCCTGGCTTGGCACATACTATTCTTAGCTATTGTATCAGGTAATGCAGTGCTAGAAGATAAGAAGAAATTATTGGATTTGTAGGCTCCAAATTCAAACTATATAAACAGAGCCCTTTTATTTCCTATCACAGCACCCTCAATTCTTAATTTTTTTTTACTATTTACACACTTTGTGTCTTTATTTCTCGAGCCATGTGTGGGGCTGAAACCGTGTCTTTTTTGGTCCTCCCAATATTCCTGGTGAAATATGTAGCATATAGAATGAAATAGTGTGTGGATAAGTAAGGCAGGCCGCAGAAGCAGTCTCAGTAGAGACTTCCTGCCTTCTTGCTGTTCTTTTCAGTAGTAATACTTAGGTGGGTGTTGAGCCTCTGGCCCTGTTGCTGGTGTCTCCAAGGACACAGCTTCACTGTGCTCATCTCTTCTCTACTGAGCTCAGGACACTGGAGCAGGCTAGAAGAGCACAAAGCTTTTTTTGGAAAGGCCTAACTTGGCCTACAGGGGAGATAGTCTGTCCTGCCTCTCTGGGGGGTTATTGTGAGGCAGGAAATAGAAAGTGAAGTGCTTATCTCACTCTGATCTTTTGTTCTAAACAAAGATGCTGAGACAGGATATTATCAAAAGTCTTCAAATTATCTAGTTGATGTTATATCTAGCAAGAGTGTCTCCATCGCACTGTGTAGGTCGGCTGCCCACATTTCAGTCGTGGTGCAGAAAGCTGATTGGCACTCTAGTGGCTGACTGAAAATTCGTTGGATTTCTAACTATGATTCAAACAAACAGTACAGACTGTAAGTAGGGCTAGAGTGTAGCTGGGTGCCAGTTTTAATTTGATTGCTAACGAGACTCAACACATAATCATGTGTTTTTTGACATCTTTTGTATGTTGTTAATCAGGTTGCTTGTGTGTATTTTTTATTTATTTACTTATTTTTTTTTTGTACTGGGGATCGAACAGACAATACTTGCCTGGCAAGCACAAGGCCACTGAGCTATCTTGCTGGCCCTACTTTTTTTTTTTAATTTGTATGACTTTTTTATGCACTTTAAATATGGTCTCAGATGTTTTTCCTTACTCCACAGCTTGCCTTTTCCACCTCCTGAAAAATAGCTGTTCTTAACTTTGATTGGTCCAGCTTACCACATTTTTCACTTATAGTTAGTTTTTGTAGCTTCCTTTAAGAACATTTTTCCTACCTCAAAACCATTGTTGTGGATACTTTTCACTCGTTGCTGGGACAAAATACCAGACACCCAGAATTAAGGAAGGAAATGTGTATTTAGCTGACAGTGGAGGTTTCAGTCCATACTCAACTGGCTCCAAGGCAGAGTAGCACATGGCAGAGAGCGGCTGTTCCTGGCAGCAGAAAACAGCAAAAAGCAAAGGGAGGGGTGGCACCTGTGCCTTCTAACAAGCCTGTCTCCCTTCCTTGCATGCTGGCTAGGAAGACGGAGGAAGTGGAACACTCCATCCTTGCTCAGTTCCCTTGTTAGGTGATGAGTCACTCTAACGTGTGGCCTCCATGCCCTAGGTGTGGAATTGCTGAGCTGATTCAGTCAAGCTTTTAACTTCTCAAATTGACACAATGTACCAATCACTACAAATATGAAGGTATTTTTCTATGTTCTAGAAATTCTTACTGCTTTGCCTTTCACTTTAGATCTCAACCATCCATCATTTCCTCTTCTGCTAATAGCCAGTTGGCCTTTCCTTTTTCTCTACTATTATTCAAGTATAGATTTGCTTAGAACTTATTTCATTGCCAATTTGATTATCCTGGCTTGAACACCAAAGTATCTTTATTGCTATAGTTTGAGACTGAGTCTTGGTATCTGGAAAACCAAGTCTTCCTATCTTATTTCTTAAAGATTTTTTACTCTTGATGTTCATAGCTTCCTTATCAAAGTGTGGAAGTTAACTTCTATTCCTAATTGATAGGTTTTGACGGTGACACAGCAGAGAAACAGGCAGAAGGAA